TATACAGAGTGGACACAGGACATCCAAAGATTGGGGTTGACTCGGTGTACTAGCCAAAAACAGGAAGCAACTGTTCATCTGCATAGTCTGTGGCAAGCTGGCAAGTGAAAAGAAATAGATGATGAGCTTCAGCTCTGCTCCATCCTTCTTACTGTGCAGAAATATGGATGCACAGTAGGTTACACAGGCAAGGGATAAACCACTACTAATTCAGAAGAAAAAGATCCTGCATAGGACAGCTTCTACTTTCTATCTTTCTAAGAGCTCTGATTAAACTCGCTGTACGAGCACCTATTAAGAACAGTGGTCCATAATGCCTGGTCTGAGGTTTTTCTGAAACAAGGTTATTCCTAGGGTTTTGTTCTTCAGAAGACTTTAATCCTGACTCTAGTTGTCTCAGTGAAAAGTTTGAAATACTTTGCCAACTCCTGGTTTGGGGATAAGAACGCTCTGTTGGTCTGACATCAAAGTGAATCAATGAGCTATCTGTGCATTTCTATCCACTGCTTTAGCCATATATTCTTTTGCAAGTGTCTAGAAGCTGTCACCCTGCTATGCTGTGATGAAAATAATTGGGATATAGTTCCCACTTCTGTTATTCCCATATGATACTGCTGCTGGTGAAGAATACTCAAAACATGGCTCCAAAGGCAAGTTTCAAACTTCAAAAGCCAAGTGTTCTCACGTGCTGAGCCGCTTGCTTCTCCAAGGAAATCTGCAGAGAACTGCACCGTATATCAAAGAGCAGCCAGACACAAGACCATTGCCCCAAATGAATGATATACAGAAAGAGGGTACATTCAAGGGTCTAAATAGTAAGGAACTCAGCACTCAAACTAGGAATCAGGAGAACCAAATAATTCTGGAGGAAGGGAAAGCTGTATAGAAATAAGGAGACAGAAAATGAAATTACAAATCCAGTGAAGACAGACACTTAATAATTTGTGAATACTAGGCCACCTGCCCTTATGATTTTTACTTGTCACTTAATGCAGGAATTTGCAATAGTCCTGTAGGTTTGGATACCGCATATAAACATGCTGGGTTTGCCACAGCTTGGTAAAATTTCTACAGTGTGATGAAATATGTTTCAGCAAGATGATGTCCTGACCTGGTGAGAACCTAGGGGTGGCGAAATTGCTGCGAATCCTGTCTGCTTCATACTTCTGCCTTTGCAGGCAAGCAACCTTCAGTGAAGTTCAACAGACATTCAACAAACCAGACATTTCTGTGGGTTACAAGGTTACGAGATGAGCCTTGGATGCCATGCCTTGACAGCGTATAGATACCACATTTAGTTCTTGGCCGAAGCAGTAAAGGTCAGTATGGAGAATTCAGCTTCCTATTTAAAAATAGACCTCTAATTCTGAATCTCTGTTTAATGATGTTGGGTCTACAATGTTTTTATGAAATCATGGTTGACAAATAGGACTGAACTGATGTTTTAATTTCATTTTTACTGAGACTAAATTTATTCTAGCTCCTGAACAGGAAAGACAGAAAGGCAGCCTGACAACCTTCAACATCTCTACCTGATGCCACCCCATCAGAGAACAACAGCCCCAGAAATGAGATCTTGGGAACAAAATCACTCCTGACACTGCTGCAGGAATGGAGAGTTTGAATTGGTTTTTGCAGCTGGAGATGTCTAACAGATCTTCCTCTGGGTAAGGAAATTTTCTGCAAGCAGAATTGCTTGAGATATCTTTTCCTCAGCGTTATATCATGTTACTAATTTGGCAGAGCTATGCGTGGTGATATCCCACACACTATTCTTGCTACTGTACTTTTAATTTCCTCACAATGGTACCATAGCCAGCTGGACAGTGCAAGCTCTATTGAGAAGTTTATTCTAGTCACTGACTGTATCACTAGCATTATATGAAGGCAAGTAGTAAGTGGTTTACTTAAAAGTTTAAAGATATATTCCTTGACCCCATGTTGTTTTTCCAAATCCCACGTCCCATTTTCAAACGTAAATGGGTATGTTTGTGTTGGCCAAGTTTTTTCCAGGATAATTCAGAGTACATTGCAGGAAAAGCAGTCACTGCAGTCAAGCAAGCCTCAAATGTCCTTCCCTCTCCTAGGTTATTCAAAAATGAATGCATTGACTGAATAAAGGGGAAAAACCGTACAGTCAGAACTTCCAGTGCTGGCAGTTCTGATTTTTTTGGTTGTTCATTTGTACTGTAACACAGCCAATGTCTGTCCAAGGCCAGGCAAAGAGCAAAGGGCTCACTCCCAGAATGTCACATGCAGTACCTGTAAATAGGGGTGGTAAGATTGAGGTAGGCAATCATTAAGATTGTGCAAGACAGAGATAAGTCAGTAAGCAATCTCTTTCCAAAATAAAGCACAAAATTACAGCTTTTAGTAGAAATGTAGTGGTTTGGATTTTTTTCTCTTGGCAGGTTCATCCTCATGGTAAAAAATCCAGCAGGCTTCTGTTCCATTTCTTCTCTACTTCATTCTGTTGTGCTGGCTGTCAGGGAAGCCAGTGGTGCGATAAGAGTTTCACTGTGTACTGATCAAGTAAAGTGTTGGTAAGTAAAGATCTTTTTGCTGTGATAAGTATTTGACCGTACTGAGGCCATGCAACCCTTGCAGGTGCAGACGTGCCGGTTGGAAAGGAATTCTGTTAGGTGCCCTACCGGAGCATGGCAAGTTGATGAGAAGGACTGTTAGTAGGATATAATCTGTCAGTTTAATAGCATTCTGTCCCTGAGTAGTCTCTGTATACATTTAATATCTGCTTTTGAGGAGCAGTTTCCCTAGTATTTGGCTTCAATAGGGCTGTCCTGTGCTGTCAGACTCTGGGGTTTTGGGCTGATGACTGAGAGCTGTCACCTCTAAGGTCTGGAACAAGGACTCTCTGCTGCCTCTTCAGGATCCCTTCCCTGCTGTTACCTGCATTGGGTGAATCATGTCCTAAAGCACGTTTTATGGAGCAGCAAAGAGTTACCCAAGATCTGTGGCTTTAAATAGGACCTCCAGAACTAGCTAGTAGAAAAGTTTCATGGCATCTTTCAAGGCCTAATTCTGATCTCTCTGCTGAGAAAATCTGCACCTGTGTAAGCCATGGGACCAGAGGATTGTCATTACACCCACACTTAGTGTGATTCTCCACCTTCTCTAAACATAAATATGGACTGCAAAACCTTTTTTTTTTCTATTTCAGGTCTCTAAGGTTTGCTCCATTTTGGTGAGAAAGTTAGAACATTTTTCTTTTTTATCTAAACGATTGTTGGTGCAAATTATCATTAGTCTGTTTGGGAAGTGATTTCATTGCTAGGAAACCCTGCCACCAGGTGTTTGCAAAAGGTAAACAGGCACTTCAGGTCTCCTAGAATAAAGGACTGAGGTGGTCAATTTAGAAAACTTTGGAAGTAAATAGATCTTAGCTCCTCCATGTAAAACCAACAAAGGATTGTGTGAGGTTGAATCTCTGTAGGGAGAGAACTTGTCTGAGAGCTTAACATTTTGTTTTCAAGGTGGTTTTTTTTTATTATGTCATTATTTTGAGCTTTGTCTTGCTGCCTTCATGAGAGACAGCAGCAATGTCAACTTTCCTGGTATTGGATAATTAACATAGTATAAAAATTCAGCAGAAGGAAATCCTTAGAGGGCTCTTAAGAACTGGCTTGAGTCCATGAAGCCAGATAAAAAATATAAACCAGGATTCACGTTTTGTTATATTAGTTAGCTAAATACCTTTCCTTGTTTTGTTTTGGTGCATGCCATTGCCCCAGATTTTGATGTGAGCTTTTTTGATGTGCTTCTTCTTGTGGAAGAAGCACAAAGGAGTATACAGAAAAGTGGTGCTGCTTAAACTCTGCTTTTTATCCTAGGGATAATGTTCTCAGAGTAATATGCTAGTGATTATACTTTATATTGTACTTTATCAGATGAAACATGACAGGGTAAATTGCTCTCTGTGGGTAATCTTTTCTGAAGCTTAAAATAAAGAGAAATAATTGAGGTGACTAGAAAAATTTATGCTGGATTTGATTTTTCTCTCCTTACCCCAATCTGTCTACCAAATGGTTCTTCCTTAGGCTTGTTTTTAATTTTAACTGGTAGAGCTGGGAGAAAATAAGGCAAATTGACTTTAGTGATGTGGCTTATTTACTGTAAAAGTTTGTCAGCTCATGTTTGTCATCATTTCATTTTATTTTTTTTCCAGTTAAACACAGAGTATATGGGACATGATTGCCTCAAATTTGACCCTTATATTAAAATCAAGGACAATTACTGTGGTGCAACTTGTCAGAGCACCATGCAGAGCTTTACTTTATGGTGTTACTGCCCGTTACTGTTCTCCTCAGAGCGGGCAGTAAAGTATTGCAGACATGGGATCCAAGAGGACTTCATCTCTGAGGTGTAATACTGAGGAATAAGTGTATCTTATTAATATACAAGGTTTGAAAGGAGAAATTGGGAGGCAATCAGATCATTACTACTTAAATGCACTTAAGTTTTTTGTCCTTTAAGCTAAGGGTGTTTGCTAGTAGTGGAGATGCTATCAAGAGAAACAGCTTGATCACGCTAAGCTTAGACATACAACAATCCTGACAGCTGTGGAAAGAAGAGTCCCAGCAGAAATACAGTAGCTGGAGAGTTCAGGATTCATCCCAAACTGGAATACTGTATGATTCGTTGGGCATGAAGAGAAGTGCTTTAAATTTAGACATACAATGAACAAAACATTGAAATGGATTTGCAGCACAGTGAAGTTGATGACTGTTGCTATATTAGGTATTTTCATTACATCTTGAGATTTTCAGATTCTTATAAGCTTGGTTGTTTCTCTTCTGGTTTCCATACATAAAGATACAGTCAGAGGCTAGATTAATGGTTCAGACTCTATCCTTTGTTCTTGGTCTTTTGGCTGAAGGTGGGATTGTATTTCCTAGGCAATGTATGCGACTCTTTCCTAGGCAACTCTTTAAAATGATGTAATTGGAGAAATTTATGAAATTACTCCGCTGGATTTGCCACAGACATAGCAATGACTATTCTTCAGCTTTTCAATGCTTGGTACTTTGCCTTTCGCTGTTGATGGTAATAAGTTCAGTTAACATAGATAAACCTGAAGAGAAAATTTATTCCTGCCCAGTAATTCAGTGCAGTGCTCCTGCAGTCAATGGTTTACCAGGCAGAGATGATCCCAAAGGTAAAAAGGGAGAACCAGGAACAGAGCTATGACCGTTTAGCAATATTGTATTTTTGACACTCCTTATCATCCCTTTAGTCTCGTTTCATGCTTCCTTTGTTCTTTCCTATTGTCCTTTAACTTCTCTCATTCTTCTGCCCCAATAACCTTTTGTAGGCTCTGCACAATTTCAGGAAGCTGAAATTGCTTTCTGCCTTTATAATGCTAGTCTAGATACTTGGCTTTTAATAAATAAAAAATACATTACATTTTAACAGCAGCCTATAAAACAGAGATATAATAAGATTTTAATCTGATTGTACCATTTGTACTCTGAATCACTTCAGAGTTTCCTACAATGCTCTACTAAATGATTATTGCTTTTTGTTTCTAGGGGCCAGCTCTCAAAACCAGAAATCATGCTCACTGGAGTTGGCTACTAATCTGATGGTTATAACTTGATTGCTTTGTGCTCGCTAAGTCCCAACAACAGAATTCCCCCAAGGCATGATTTGTCAGTTAGGTAACTTTTTTCATGCACTGCTGCAACCAGAAAATAGATCAGCAAGTGCTTTCTGTCATGTGGTAGAACCAAGTCACCTGCTCTCCCAAGTTGCCAAATCATAGTTTCTGTCCAAACACTGAATAAGTACATATGGAATCGTATACTTTCTTACCGTATCCTGTCTGTATTATCATGTGTATACCACACATCTTGGAATTAGACAATTGCTTTGCAACTTCCAAGCCAATGCCTATCATTATCAATACCACTTTGATATAAAATTGCCATGGCATATAGTGATATTCTGTATAGACATATTCTGGTCCACACACCCTACATGCTCTCTGTAATGTCATGGTTGAAATAAGTAAAACCAGCACTATATATTTCAACAAACTGCTTCAGAAGTAGCCTTAATCTTACGATTTTAGCTCATTTTTTAGGTCATATACTGTGATGTGTGATTGGATTACAGCTGAAGTATATTGGCTTTCTGATTTTAGAGCATGTGTACCTATGTAATAACATGAGAGCATTTATTTCATTGGATTTTTAGTGCCATAAGTCGGTGTAGTAAAGAAGTTTTCATCAAAGTAATGCATGTCCTAGCAAATGAAGCTTTCCATAGAAACAACTCAATTTTTTGAGTTGCTTTTATTTTCCCGTGGGGGTGGTGGAAGGAGTCAGTGTTTTGTACTGTATCTAAGCACTAAGAAAACATAGTGGGAGAAAAACTTAGAAAACATTCAAAATGGTTTTAGTTTAAATCACGGTCTAGGAGAAGGACTGAGAGGTCTACAGGGTTTCCCTGGAAAAGCAGGACCTCTGGGAATAAAAGGAGATTTAGGATCACAGGAGAAAAAGGAGAACACAGAAGTAAGAAATAAATTTCTCATGTTTCTATAATCTGCTTTTCAACCTTTTGGTATGTTTTCAAAAAAATACTTGTGTTTAATGTCCAGTATTCTCATAACATCATTTGAGGAAGAGTGTGATTTCCAGAAGTGTGAGGAGCAGAAACATAAACCATCTGTTATATAGGAGATGTAACGTAACTAGTGGAAAAAAGCGGCTGGAATGAGTCACTAGTTTATTGTTGCCTGTGAGTGAAATAACAAACCCTCTATCTCATATTATAAACAGCATTTTTTCTTTCATTCTTTGCCTGTTCATGTGTTTTTGACTTCAACTTTAATTCATTTAAAAATGTTTACGTGTGCGTTTTGCCTTTGACAAAT